GGCCTCCGGAATTATGAGAGGATAAACTGTTTTAAGCCCCCCAAATTGTGGTAATTTGTTACAACAGCCCCAGGAAACATAAAACATCCTTGCATATAAAATGGGGACAAGGGTCTAGAGGACAATTTTCAGGCAGGTGGAGTCACAGGTATCTGACCAAGTCTGTTTATTCATTCCCTCGGCAAATATTTGTTGAGTGAGTACAGCGTTCCAGGCATAGGAGATAGAGAATAAGGCTGACGATGTCCCCACTGACACCGGGGTGGAGGGAGGGAGCAGGTAATAAAGAGGTAAATGAGAAATACAAACCAGGTACCTTTAGTTATTGGTGTGAGTGCTTTAAAGAAAACAAAACAAGGTAATGTGGAAGTGGGGAGGGAATTATTTTAGATTGGGCAGTAGGAGGGCCTTTCTGATGAGGTAATCTTAGAGCTGAGCCCTGAATATCAAGAAGGAGTTACCATCTGGACAAAACTTTCCCATTGGCAAGAGTTGTAAGTGCAAAGGCCCCGAGATAGGGATGAGCTTAATGTGCTTGAGCTTAATTGTGCACAGAAAGACCAGATTCCTCCAAGTCAATGTGGAGAACCAGCTCTCACAGAGGGCTGCAAGGTTCTGTTGGAGGCTCTGTCCTGTGCAGTTTTCTTTGTTTATAACTAAATTGGAAGTAAACATATGAGTCATATAAATCAAGTGTGGGTAACATAAAGCTAGTAGGACTTATATTTAGTTAGATGTCAGGGATTGGGTTTTAAAATACCTTGGCAGGTGTGAACAAAACTCTAAAGATAAAATTTGACAGAGACAAAATGTAAAATTATTTGCCTAAATCAGTACTTGTATGAAGGCTCTAAAACTCAGTATCAGCAAACAACCTGATGGTGAAACACTTTACGACTTTTTTACAGCATGGAGTACAGCTCAAGAGAGGAGGCAGCCACGGGTCTGTTCCTGGAGTATTGAGTGGGCACGCCATTTTACGGGGCCACAGAAACCATTCATTCATTCATTCATTCATTCATTCATTCATTTGATTCATTCAATGAACAAATGTTCAGTGGACACCTTCTATGTACCTGGCACTGGTTAGGCTGTGGGGAGACAACACTGAATAGGATAAAGCACTAGCTGACCTCAGAGTGCTTCTAGGGAGAAGAGAGACACTCTAGGTTTAATTTTGTAACTGTGATCTTTCTTTCTACATTAAATTTTTTTCAGATTATAAACTGGTAATAAAAGAGCAAAATCAAACATCACAGAAATATATAATATAGATGGGCGCCTGGGTGGCTCAGTTGGTTGGGCGACTGCCTTCGGCTCAGGTCATGATCCTGGAGTCCCGGGATCGAGTCCCGCGTCGGGCTCCCTGCTCAGCGGGGAGTCTGCTTCTCCCTCTGACCCTCCTCCCTCTCATGCTCTCTGTCTCTCATTCTCTCTCTCTCTCAAATAAATAAATAAAATATTAAAAAAAAAAGAAATATATAATATAGAAAAGAAAAATCCCCTGTTAACTCATCTTGCTTCCCCAGAGATAGCCACCGTCAATAGGTTTGTGCATTTTCTTCAACTTTTAAAACTACAGCTGTCTTATATTTTAAAAACATAAAAATAGAACCATAGTCTTTTTAATTTTTTTTAGCTTGATGTATCTTAGACATGCTTCCACATGAATACAAAGAGATCTACCCTGTTCTTTTAAACGGCTGAGTCATACTCCATTTTATGAATGTACCACAGTTTAGTGTCTTATTGATATGTGTACTGTTTCTACTTTTCACTATTATAAACAATGATACCACAGAACTTGTTCAGCATGACCTTTCCAATGAACTGGTGGGAGTATTTCTTTCTAAAGGATACATTCCTGGAGGTGGAAATGTTGGGGCAAAGGGTCTGAAACATTTAAATGACAGCTGGTGCCATACTTCCTACCATTCAGGTGGAGTCAAATCGGAGTGCATGTTTTCTTGCAGCCTCAACACAGGATTTTATCAATAATCATAATCTTTGCCTGTCTGACAGGCGGGAGACAATCCTATATTGTTTGCACGAACCATGTTCGGCCTACAACCGAGGTAACGGGTATGCAGGGATGTGCAGGTCACCTGTGCATGTCAGAGAGGCCACAACTGCTGAGGCCTGAAATTAACCAGGCGGGGTGTGGTAGTAGGTGACCACAGCATGCCGGGCAGCTCACACTGCAAGTGCAAAGGCCCTGTGGTGAGAGCGTGCCTGGCCTGTCAATAGGACCGGAAGGGTTCCCAGGGGAGCAAAGAGCAGGGAGCAAGGGGAAGAGTGAAGAGGAGGCAAGGGCTAAACCTTGCAGGGCCTTGGGGTTCATCTTGTGGGTTTTGGTTTTTATGCCAAGAGAAATGGAAGCCAATTGAAAGTTTTGAACAATCTGACATGATCGGACCGGCATTTTGAATAGATTCCCCTGGCTGCTGTGTGGAGAACAGATTAGGAAGAGGAGAGACTGGAAGTGAAGAGAACATGAGGTAGCTTTTGGCTTCCAGGTGGGAGTGGTGGTAGTCTGCCCTGGGGTGGAACCTGGACTAGGGTGGAGGCCCAATGGGTGTACCCTGGAGAGAGTGGGTAGACTTAGGAGAGACTTAGACCGGATAGGGCTTGATAGGAATTGATGGGAACTGAGGCTTGGCTGGGCTTGGGTAGGGAGCATGGCATCCTGGAAGATGCTCAGGCGTGTTGGACAGACTGACTGGGAGTTGTCATTAGGATGGTGTGAAAATAGCAGGCGAGGATTAGCCAGAAACGTGAAGATCGGGAGGAGACAGAGGCTTGGCAGAGCAGTCTCTCTGCTGAGTTTCCCCTATGCCCACGGCTCCACCCGATGCAGGCTGGCCCTGGGACTCCGCCACACTGGCCACAGGTGGACTGGGAGAGTGCCGGAGCCCCGGCTGTGATGCGGTCTGGTGTGAAGCCCGTCCTTGACGGGGACGGTGCCAGATGGAGCTGACGACCTCCTTCGGGGAGTGACAACATCTGGAACTAGGGACGTGAGAAAGGTCACACGAGGAGAGGGCAGAAAGTGGGAGTCATCAGCAAGGAAGAAGAAGTGAAGAGCGGAGCTGGGGCAGAAGGAGCGGAAGGACCGCAGAGCATGGGAGAGGACTGACGGGTCCCCCCTGCACGTGGCTAGGGGACAGAGCCAGGCTTGCTTGCCCAGCTGTGAGGCTGATTGGGTGGGAAGGGGACCCAGAACAAGGCAGTGACCTTCTTGAAGGCTCTGCTCTGTCTCCTCAACCATGAAACAGATGCCACAATATCTTTTTCTTCAGCTCACGAGGATTAAAGAGGCACATGAGAGAGTCAAAGAAATTATTTGCAACACGTAAGACTACTAGAGAACCAGTATCTAGAATTGAACTGGGAAAAATCTACAAATCAATAAGAAAAAAACCCAGCCAACCCCATGGGCAAACAAGCAAAAGACTTGAACAAGCATTTACCGAAAAAGGATAGAGCATAGCTCAAAAATATATGGAAATAAGATCAACCTCATTAATGAGGGAGATACAGTGAGGTTCCCTACGCAACAACACAGATGAATCCTATAAACGCAGTGTTGAGTGAAAGTAGTGAGATCGAGATGAATGTATGAAGTAGGAGTCAATGTATTTAAAGTTTTAAACTACCATTAAAACTATAATTAAATACTACACATGCATATCAGATTGGCAAAATTTGAAAAATCTATTAATACCAAGTGTTGAAGAGCGTGTGGAGAACCAGGAATCTCAATGCTGCTGGTGGGAATGTGATGAGTATAAGCATTTTGGAAAACACTTTAGCATTATCTAGTAACCTGAAGGCAGGCACATTGCACAACCCAGTAATTCTATTCTTGGATATACACCTCTAAGAAGAACTTCTCATGTACACTGGAATGCATATACCAGCTTGTCTGTAACTTTGTTCATGGCCTCATGCTAGAAACAACACAAAGATCCATCAACTTGTAGAGTGAATACATAGATTGTGATACATTCACACGATGGAGTACTATACAGCACCAAAAAATGAATGACCTATGCTGTGGGGAACAACATGAATGAGTTTTACAAACACAATATTGAACAAAAGAAATAATACGTACTATACACTTTTACTTTAAAAATTGGTGGGGCGCCTGGGTGGCTCAGATGGTTAAGCGTCTGCCTTCGGCTCGGGTCATGATCCCAGGGTCCTGGGATCGAGTCCCGCATCGGGCTCCCTGCTCCTTGGGAGCCTGCTTCTCCCTCTGCCTCTCTCTCTCTCTCTGTCTCTCATGAATAAATAAATAAAATCTTAAATAAAATAAAATAAAATAAAAATTGGTAACACTAAACTCTATATAATGGAGTTTATGTTGTAGAGCATATATTGTTGAGCAAATTATCAAGAAGAGTAAGGAAGCGATGATCACAAAAGTTGGAAGGCTGGTTGCTTCTGGGGAGGGGAGGGTTCTGGGATAGACAGGGATACTTGGGGCAGAGGGGGTCCTGCAGTGCTTGAAGGTATTCTATTTCTTGACCGAGGAGGTCGTTATCCTAGTGTTTGCTTTGTGATTGTTCATTATACTGTACATTTGTTTTGAACACTTTAATCTAAGAGTATTTTATTTCACAATTTAAACAGGTTTAAAAAAAAAAAAAGATAGCTAACACTTGTAAAATGCTTGGCACAGCGCCTGGCCCGTATTAAGAGCTCAACAGATGGCAATTTTATTTACTGTTATAACCCAGTTGTTAGAGCCGCGCTGTATCCTAAGCAACCTTCCAGCTCCCGGATTGAGCGCGAGTCTCCATGAAGCCTGGCTTTGAGGTGGAGATTCTGGACTCCTCTCTTTCCCAGGGTGGCCTCCAAATAAATCTCGTTGCTCAAGACAGCACTTCTCACTTGATATGTGGTGGTTTACTGCATTGTCTCAAACTCTACCAAAGTGTGTTGCCAAATTTTGGCAAGATATAAAACTTTTTTTTTAATGTCGCTGTTGCTAGGCAATTCCAGAAATTGAGATTGCTGAACTGAGTACCACGTCACGTGCATACAGCCAGAGTCCAGCCTGCTGCTGGTCAGAGGTCAGGGGCCAAAGGTGGACCCTGACCTCAAGCTGGTGCCAAAGACATGAGGACACGTGAGAACTTGACCTGCTGAGAATCCATCGGGGAAGAAGAGCCACACCCAAACAGTGCTGATTCAGGTGAATCCCAAGATTACTGAGGATGCCAGTGAAACCCTTCCAGGGTATAGCCCCCAAATCCACAGGAAGGTTGACGGTCCCTGATTTAAAGGAATCTGAGAATATCTCTGCTCCTTGCACGCCTAATAATGGAATCCCCATGCCATGTTTATGGGAGGGGCCATTGTATCTAATAGCGAATTATATTAACAGCTAATAATTATGGGGTGCCAATCATATGCCGGGCATGGTGCTAACGTTTCAGCAATTCAGTAACTTGCTGCAGGTCACACAGCCGCTAAGGGCTGGAGCCAGGAAGAAGGATCATTCTCACTCTCTGGTTCTAGAAGGAAGGCAGAGCCCAATGTTTAGAAGTCACGTGGGGGGGGGCAGGTTTTGGTACTGAGAAGCAAAAAATGTCCTAATAGTGAAATGGGGAATTCTAGGGCACAAGAAATTCTCTCTCTCTAAGCAGAGGCAGCAAACGTTTCAATTTTAGTATATGTGCTGCCGAAGCGAGCACGAGGCAGCAAATGTCTCAGAAGAGATTCTTGCATTGGATGGCAGGTTGGACCGAATGCCTTTCAAGGTCCTTTCAAAGAAGCCATAATTGTTAAGTCTGAGTCTTGGTAGAGCTTCACATAAGGGGCTGTGCTATACGCTTATTTTCATTTAAAATAGGAACCTCCAAAGTTCAGTGCATACCCGGACGTGTGAGCTATTTGAGTTCACTTTCATGTGGATGTTCATGAACTTCCTCAGAACTGGTGAGGCACGGGAAAATGATGTTCCCTATGGGGTTGTTTTCTTTCAGTCTTTTAGCTGACAGTAGTTGTAAAGAGGCTTTCTGCCCGGCAACGAAGTAGCTTTCTTAGCTTTGGAAGAGAAAGAATTTGCATTCTACACTCTCCCACACTTATTTCTTTAATTTCAGACCAGAGGTGCTGATCTTTTCGCACGGACTCTCCGGCCACCCCTCCTGCGATCGGCGTGTGTCATCTGAGGACAACGTGAGTGGTCTTAACAGTGGCATCGGGGAGCATCAGGGGTGTTTAGAATCTACCCTTTAGAACTGAAACGATATGTCTGGCTTTGTTTCCAGGGTTACAGAAACTTCTTTGGTCTATTTCCATGACTGTGTCCAGTGGAAATGCATTACTTTCTGCTTTTCAGACTGCGCTACCTCCCTCCAGGATAATGGAGGCATACAGTGGCATCTCTAGTTGGGAGTTGGCTTGGGTCGAGCCTTTGCATTACCTGGCAAAACCGGCTTTATTTTCTAAAGCAGTTTTAGGGTCATAGAAAATTTAGTTGTAGAAAGTACAGGGTTTCCCGCTACCCCTTGTCCCCACAAACGCACAGTCTGTCCCTCTGCCAACATCCCGGACCAGAGTGGTACATTTGTTATAGTCCATGGACCTACGCTGACGCCTTATTATCATCCAAAGTCCATAGTTTACATTATGGCTCACTCTTGCTGGTGTGCATTCTCTGGGTTTGGAGGAAGATATAATGAAATGTATCCACCATACATTTCATTCGCCTAAAAATCCTCTGTGCTCCGCCTATTTATCCCGCCCTCTCCCCAACCCTGGTGACCACAAATCTTTTTACTTTTCCACAACGTCACAGAGTTGGGATCCTATGGTATGTAGCCTTTTCTGATTGACTTCTTTAAATACACCTTACTAAAGTAATAAGCATTTAGGGTTCTTCCATGTTCTTTTGTATCTTAATAACTCATTTCTTTTTAGCGCCGAATAATTCTCCATTGTCAGGATGTACCACAATTTCTTATTTATCCATTCATCTACTAAAGGACATTTTGGTTGCTTCCAAGTTTTGGCAATTGTGAATAAAGCTGTTATAAGCATCCATGTGCAGGTTTCTGTAGAGATGAGTTTTTAATTCACTTGGGGAAACACCAAGGAGCATGATTGCTGGATATATGGAGAGAGTGTATTTTATTTTGTAAGCAAATGCCATCCTGTCTTCCAGGGTGGCTGTCCCATTTTGCTTTCCCATCAGCAATGAATGAGAGTTGCTGTTTCTCCATATCCTCACCAGGATCCATGTTCTGGATTTTGGTGATTCTAATAGGTATGCAGTCGTTTCTCATTTTTGTTTTAGTTTGCAATTCCCTCATGACAGAGATGTTGAGAATCTTTGTGCTTATTTGCCATCTGTATAACTTCTTCCGTGAGAGGTCTATTCCTATCTTTTGCCCATTTAAAAAACCGGGTTGTTTGATTTCTTATTGTTGAATTTTAGGAGATCTTTGTATATTTTGGTTAACAGTCTTTTATCGGATATGTCTTTCACAAGTATTTTCTCCCAGTCTGTGGCTTGTCTGCTCGTGCTCTTGAATGTACACTATTTTAACAGTGCTCTATTAGATGTTGTATGAGCATATAAAATATATTTAAGACAGAATTTCATGCTTTTAAGTTGCTTATTGGGAAGTACCTATTTCCTGGATACAGAAGGATCCCCATTGCTTCTTTTATTGGCTAATAGTGAAACTCTTGTGGGGTTGGGAAACACTCCAGAGAATCAGTATATTTGGGAAACTTGCTTGGATATTATTTTATGTGCTGAGAGTTCCATGATAAATTATACTTTGGTGGCTTTATGTATAGAAGAGCTTGAGACTCTGACTTGTCTGGGCGGACAAAATGTTATTAGCATTCTAAGAAATGTCAGTGGCTGAGATTTATATATTCCCGTACAGGCTCCTTTGACTGATGTGACCTCACTGACGTTTCACAGTGACTTATCCAAGGCAGAAGCATGGCAGTTGGGCCAAGGGAAAGACATTTTATTCTATTTATACGTACGGCCTTTTTAAAAATGTTGAATTATTTGAAAATACTTAACCGAAGGGGATCATTTCTGCTAGTACAGAGTCGCAGGTAGAACACCTCACACGACTTCACATTTGGAGTCGGCGTTTGCTTATTATGCTGAATTGCACAATGTCAGCAAATGAACAGGACATGCTCTAACTTCAATCAGTATTATCCAGAACTCTTCAGTGTAGTCATTCATAGGCACACAAACCAACAGAACAAAACAGGGCCCGAAAACCCAGTGTGGACTGGATGTTGAGTGGGCTCAGTCTGGACGCACTGTGTCAGCATTAATTCACGGTGCCAGCGCCATCTTAGAGCATGATGTTCAACTCTAAATCTTAAACGAAAAGGAGATTCCAACGTTTAGCAGACTTGTGGAACAAACACTAGGGAGACAGAGTAATTTGTTAAGGCAGACAACGAGCTGGACCCAATATCCAGGACAGATGCTCTTTAAAATTGGTCCAGTCCCAAAGAGGAAGAAAGAGTCCAAGGGTCCACATGTGCCATTCCTCGGAGAAAGCCAGAGACTGAGAGAGGGCAAGGTAAGGCAAGAAAGAGAGGGGATGGTTGTATCTCTGACCAGGAAGATATGCTGGGTCACCCAACTGCAGGCCCCTCTTCGTGGTCTGATACAAGTCTTCTTCAAAATTGACCAAGCTGCGAGGTTCCCAAAGGCAAAGATTAAAAACAGGAGCTGCAGAACGTTAATGAGGACATGTGGTGTCTGCAGCTGGGGCTCAGTGTGGTGCAAAGTTCGTGGGTGTGGAATCTCCACAGGCATGGCTCCCAGTCTCAGCTGTGTCCTTGTTAGTTACATGACCTTGGGCAACTTACTTAAATCTCTGGGCCTTTATTTCACCATTTGCAAAGCCAGAATAATAATTTCTTCCATTCAGTACCATCGCAGGGATGAAGAATAATTTACATCAAATACCTGGCTCATAGTAGGGGCTCAATAAATGTTAGGTGATTTAAAAAAATCATCCAGGCCTTATTCCATGTGTTTAATGAGTTCACTGTAAGGAAAGCTCAGATGCACTTTAAATACACTTCTGCTTGTATTGCTTCCTTTGGAAATGAAATACTAATGTATTATCTCCTTAAGAGTTTTGGTAAGTAATATAGCTACTAAGGTGCTTTTGGTTGCAAGCAGGAAAACCCTCAATTTAAATAAGCTTTAAAAATAAAGCAATCGTATTTGTTCATGTAACTGCAATGTCCCATGATAAATGTCAGATTCAGGAGAAGCTTGATCCAGCAGCTCCATTATATAGTGAAAGATCTGGTTTCTTTTGTTTCTGCTCTGCTGCCATGGTATCAGCTTTATTCCAAGTCTGCCTTCCTTTGTAGCTATAAGATGTTTGTCAGCAGAAGTCTAGGTCCATCTGTTAGAATTGGGCTTACTCTATGTGATGGAAAATCCACTATTACAGTGGTTATAACAAGATAGATGTATATTTCTCCCCCATGTAAGAGAACTCCAGAGGCAGGCAATCCAGGGCTGGAATGGTGGCTCCATCATGTCATGGGCCCAGATGTCTAACTTGAAATTCCACATCTTAGGGCGGGGCTCCCTTTCTCAAGGTCACCTCAAGGTCCAGAATGAGTGCTGGAACTCTCACCATTACCTCTGAATTCTAGGCAAGAGGAAGTAACATGAAGAAGTCTTGCCCCCTCACTTGTAAGGAGACTCACCGGAAGTACCACACAACCCTTTTGTTTATATTTCATTGGCTGGATCACAGTCACATAGGGCAGTGGCAAGACTGGGAAACAGAATCTTTTGCTGGACCCGTGTGCCTAGTCAGAAATTGAATTGTTCTTATAACCAAGAAGAAAGGGAGAATGGATATTTGAAGGCACCCACTCCTTATTCAACCCAGCTGGATATGGTTATTATTTGGGGTGGGGGGGCTTCCATAAAAGGGAATAAATTTTTTTTCTTAGAAGACCCCAGGAAACATAGCTCATATCTCACTGGCTCAAAGTGGGTCTTCCACCCGCTCCCACAGCACTCACTGCCGGGGAGCGTGTGTGGGAGATGGTCAGTGCTGACTGGCTTGAGCACATTAGCGCCCTCTCCTGGAACTGAGGGTGTGGCGAGCTCCCCCCCCAACCCCCAACGACCCAGGGACCCTCAGGGACCCATTAGGAAAAAGGAAAGGGGGCAATGAATGTCATTACAAAGTTGTCCCCCCCTCAACACACGCTCCCGGGTCCTCTTTTCACTACGCTAAACAATTCTAGGATTTCTAGCCTCTTGATGAAAGCTGTGAATTTCAGATTCCTCTTTATCTTTATGATCGTTTGTGAATCTTCTCCAATCTTTCCTCACTCACACAGGGCACAGTGATGAGCAGGTAAATCTCCAAGCCTCTCTAAGCCTCAGTTTCCCCACCTATAAAGTGATGAGGGTCATAGCATCCATCTTCAAAGATCAAATGAGAGGATGCATGTAGGCTTGGTGCACAGTGACCATTTAAAAAAGGTTCAATAATAAACATAATAATACATCCTGATTCTTGGATCCTATTCTCCTATGTTTTTCTCTATCACGCTTGTGTTTCTTTACCTGGAGCCTTAAAACTCTCTTTTTTGCTCTACTCCAGCTTCTGTTTCCATAGATGCTTTTCTCTCCTTAGAAATTCTTCTCAGAAACATCCTTGTGTCTATTTCTGACCTCATCTCTAATTTGCCAAGGTAGCTTTCAGTGCCTGGAGGTATGACAGTAAGAGAAAATGATTTGGGAGTGCAGAGAGGAGAACGGGAGCTGTGAGGAGCAGGTGGTGGGAAGCCCGCTATGGACCCCACCTGCGCCGCAACCTCACCCCTGCTTGACCGGATGTTGACTTCTTGTTCCCAGGCTGGGTTATTTGGAAAAGGAAGAAGAATGTGTTCTATTTGTTCATGTGGATTTACATAAGAAACACATTCTCCCTCTTCAGGCTATGGAGCTCATTTGTTGACAGACTGCTGAAGAGTTGAGCTCATGGGTTTATTTAGTTTGGAAATTCAAAGGTCGAGGCTCTCTCTGCCTTGAGAAAGCCTCCACCAGGTGCATCTAAGATGGTTCGTCCTCACCCTCTTCCCTCCTTCCAGCCTTCCCTCCTTTTTTTGTCAAGGCCAGAGGGCTTGGGAGGATTCATACTCAAGTTTCCCACACAAAGAGCTGCTCACTAATTCCTGCCCTTGCCCACACTGGGGGAGACCGAAGTTTCCGAGTGCTGCTTGCTGCTCAGTCTTCATAATCAGGGAGGGATGCCAGCTAGCGGCCATTGCCGGCCACTCTAAGCACTTCACACGTATAATAATAGCAATGGGAACAGCTGACTGTTAATATGGTGTTTACCACGTGCCACGCATAGTTGAAATCATACGATTATATATTAATTTATGTTATTTCTCTTCGGAAGGAGTAGCTACCAGCATCCTTATTCTATAGATGAAGACCTAGACTCAGAAAGGTTAAAGAACTTGCTCAGGGTCCTTCAGCTCGTGTCAGAGCCTGGATTCGAAGACAGTTGGGCTCTGTGGTCTTAACCAGGAGACTGCATTACCTCCCCATGAGGGGGCTTTAGTATTCTTAGCATACCCATTTTATAGACAAGGAGACTGAGGCACAGCCAGAAGAAGGACGCCAGAGCCTGGTTCTTATCTGCTACGTCATGCTGCCGCCTCCAGGGACGTGTGGGAACATCTCCCGATCCCGCACTTCCCGTGGGAAGTAAGCTGAAGACATCACCAGGCTGGAGCAAGTAGTGGCAAGGCCGAGAACGCAGACACCCTCAGTCCTGGTCTTGCTTCCGAGGCCCTTGTCATCAACAAATCATGTCCCTGGCACCAGGGGCCCCACTGGCTTGTGCTTTTGCTGCTTCCTGATCTTCATTTTCACGAGGGCTATTAGGGTGTCCTGGGTCCCTCAGGGGACTTGGAAGCATCAGACACCACACTCCTAGTCCCACTGGTTAAATAAAGGAACTAGCAAGAGAAGGCATCGTTTAAAATGTGCTTCTTTTGGGACGCCTGGGTGGCTCAGTTGCTAAGCATCTGCCTTCGGCTCAGGTCATGATCCCAGGGTCCTGGGATCGAGCCCCGCATCGGGCTCCCTGCTCAACAGGAAGCCTGCTTCTTCCTCTCCCACTCCCCCTGCTTGTGTTCCCTCTCTTGCTGTGTCTCTCTCTGTCAAATAAATAAAATCTTAAAAAAAAAAAGATTTAAAAAAAGAAACGTTGAGAGGTGCCTGTGTGGCTCAGTCGTTAAGCATCTGCCTTGGGCTCAGGTCATGGTCCCAGGGTCCTGGGATCGAGCCCCGCATCGGGCTCCCTGCTCAACAGGAAGCCTGCTTCTTCCTCTCCCACTCCCCCTGCTTGTGTTCCCTCTCTCGTTGTCTCTCTCTCTCTGTCAATTAAATAAATAAATAAAATCTTTAAAAAAAAAATAAAATGTGATTCATTTATTTATCCCACAACTCGTTCCCTCAAGGACTTGTGACAGTACACAGAAATGCCTAACCTTCTAGGAAAGAACATCAATCAGGGCTGTGTGATGATGTGGCCGGATTCCCAGCCCATCCCATTCCCCTCCCCAGGGACCTGGATGGATCCCACCATCCTCCTGCCCCGGGGTTTCTTTATCTTTATGGATCGTTTGTGAATCGTTGAGGTTGGCGATCACATATCCCTGGTGGCAAACGTCAGTGACACTTCATGTAAAGCTCCTAGCACTGGCCTGGCCTACAGAAGGTGCTCAGTGGCTCAGCGGATGATAATGATGATGATGAATTTTCACTCCCAGGCAGAGAATGACGCGGTAGTGGCTTAACCAGGGGCAGCAATGGCTAATGCTCACCGAGCACTACTAGGTGCCAGGAGGGTGTTGAGCTCTCTGCATGGATCACCTCACTTAAGTCTCACTGCAACCATGTGAGATTGGTACTCTGATAGCCCTAATTTGCAGATGGGTAAACCGAGGCCCATAGAAAATGTTAAGAGCCCTCCCCAGGGTCGCAGAGCTCATGATCTCTAGCCAGGCTTCACACCTAGGCAGGCAGGCTCCAGGGCCCTTGCCACTGCCCCTCTCGCTCTGGAAAACTGGTTGGACTCAACATCCTTGTAACGGTCCTTGTCAGCTGAGCCTTTGACAGATCCTGGGCAGCAGTGAGTTCAAGAGAATGTCTACATCTTGAGAAGTTCCTGAGGAGCAGACATTCTGAGGGTTCAGTTAGTGCGGTGTGGTGTGGTTTCTCTGTCGGCCAAGATGGGATAAAAATAACAGATTATCGAAGGGCTTGAACTGAAGTGTTTATGACCTTGGCTCAGAAAAGGGGAGAACAAACAGGGGAATAGGTCCAAGATCCACCTTAGGAAGGGATCTTCAGGGGGCGCTCACTCGGTTGAGCATCTGACTCTCGGTTTCGGCTCAGGTTCTGATCTCAGGGTGGTGGGATTGAGCCCCATGTGGGGCTCTGCACTCATTGGGGAGTCTGCTTCTCTCCCTCTGCCCCTGCCCCCATGCACGCGCTCGCTCCCTCTCTTTCTAAAATAAATAAATCTAAAAAAAAAAGAAAGGGATCTTCAGTCCACTTGAATGCACGGACATATGGATGATGAAGGACCCAAAATTCTCTGTGTATCATGGCTGCAATAATTTTAGTCTGAAAAAGTGTCAAGGCAGTGAAGTTCCTGTTTTGGCTATTTCAAAAAAATGAATATATGGCACCCATAGGATACTCAATGCACATCCCTTTTATTGTGATTTTTGCCTAAAATATTGGCCCTCTAAACTATCTGGCAGGAAGCACTCCTAAAGCCCCCCTATCTCAACCACCATCACAGCAGAATGATCCAGAAAGGCCAAATATAGCATTTGTGCCATTTCTGCATGGTAGACATTGTGTGATCATAATTGTAAAACAAGCAGGATCCTCAGTGGTCCAGCCTTCTGGGCTCATCCTCTTCTTGTGAAGTGGAGTAATCGGCAGAGTTCCGTTCTGCCCTTCTGTGCGATCCGAGCGCTCCTCAGGATTTCCAGAGACTGTCTCTGAGGGCTACTGGTCTCCTGCTCAGCCCACTGGGGCTTGAGCTTGTTTTCCCTGCCCATGTCACCCTCTGCTGTACAAAGCCCCAATTCCCTTATCCTTTGTGCCTTAGCTTTGTGCATGGTCTAAGCAGAGGAACTGGGGCACAGCAGAGTAGAGGCAGTAGGAAAAAGCCAAATGTCCTGTCCCTTATCAGGATTACTGACCATGTTCCCTTAAGGCCCTGGCTTGGCATCACCTTCACGGGCTTCCTCTTCCTCAGGAGCTGCTGTCTGCCCCGCTGACTTGTTCCTCCAACCCTCAAATGCCAGTTACTTCCTTACAGAACAGAGTTTAGCTCATTCTTCATTTTCCCCTTTACTTCCCAGGCCACTCCCAGAGCTTGATTTTCTCACCCCTAAAGTCTCATCAAGGCTCATATAGCATGTTTATTTTCTTTTTAAGATTTTATTTATTTATTTGAGAGAGAGAGAGAGCACAGAGTGAGAGTGAGAGGGAGAAGCAGACCCCCACTGAGCAGGAAGCCTGATGCGGGACTCGATCCCAGGACCCCGGGATCACGACCTGAGCTGAAGGCAGATGCTTAACCGACTGAGCCACCCAGCATCCCGGTGTCTATTTTTTTTTTAAAGTGACCCCAAACAGAAGATGGCCATATGATATGACTAACTAAGGGATAGAGGCACCGAAAACCAGGGGGAAGAGATGGCTGTCGGCTGGCATGGCCCCCCTGGGCTTTCAGGAGAGAAGGTGGAAGTGGGGCTGAATAAGAGGGGTGGGTGGGAACGGATGAGTGGGGGGCGAGGAGGGGGGTGTCACAGGGAGGAGAAACAGCCTGAGCACAGGTGCGGAGCTGCCGCGACCCTTGGCCCCCGGGATGGACAGGTGAGCAGGCTGGCAGGTAGAGCAGGGGTCCTCCCAAACGGGAAGGAGAAGCAGAAAGCCGAGGACTGTGGATCCCCTGCCAATTGTTTTCTGGTAGCTTCTCTGAAGTGAGTGTGTTGATTGCGGTTCCCTGTGTATGAGACACTCAACAATGTAAACTGCTAGGATGCAGCTCTCTAATTAAGTCGATTTTCTTACAACATGTGTTTGTTTATTACAGAGAGCTGTGATAACACAAGGGAGTCGTGTCAACCTCGTCTCATGCACCAGCTGAACTCGGTGACACCAGCAACTTGGATCCCGACAGACAGGGTGTTACAACCGCACCTCCAGGGAGGCTGCCCAGGGCTGGACCGCGCTTCTCTCAAGGTGCTTTGTGTGCACTGTGGGGCAGCTTGACCTGAGCGAAGGCAGCAAACGCGCCTCGAGTCGGAACCCCAGCCGGAGTCAGTAACACAGTGGTTCTCAAACTTCAGCCTGTGCCTGAGTCACCTGCGAGACGTGTTAAAACATAGAGTCTTATAACCGCCTTTCCCCGGAGACTCCGATTCAGTTGGTCTGGGGCAGGGATGGTGATTTTGCATGTCTAGCGAGTTCCTAAGTGCTCCTGGTTGGGAGATCACACTTTGAAAACCACAAGCCTACTCCAGCAACTTGACTTAGACAGCTCTTCCTCTCCAGGTCTTCTGTGCCCTAAGGGACTTCAGAGCTGGAGAGAAAAGGGAATGGAAGCCAAAAGATGGAAACAACCCAAATATCCATCAACAGGTGAATGGACAGGCAGAAGGTGGTATGTCTATACAGTGGAATACTATTCCACCAGGAAAAGGAACTCGATACTGACACACATTACAACATGGATGAACCGGGAAGGCATTATGTGGAAAGGAAGCAGCCAGCTGGGGCCTGCTGGGGCCACATGGTGCACGATTCCACGGATAGGAGATGCCCAGAAGAAGCAAATTCGTAGAGACTGAAAGCAGATTGGGGGTTGCCAGGAGGTAGGACGGAATGGAGAGCCACTGCCTATTGGGTTTCCATTTGGGATGATGCAAACGTTCTGGAACTAGAGAGAGGTGATGGGTGGACAACACTGTGAATGTACCTAATGCAATTGAACTGAACTCTTTAAAATGATTCACATGGTCAGTTTTATGTCATGTGTGTTTTACTGCAATAAAAAGTAAAAAGAGTGAATGGAATGTTGTTGGTTTTTTTTTTAAGAATTTTTATTTATTTATTTGACAGAGGGAGAGAGAGCACAAGCAGGGGGAGGGAGAGGGAGAAGTAGGCTCCCCGCCGAGCAAGGAGCACGATATGGGGCTCGATCCCAGGACCCTGGGATCATGACCCGAGCCGAAGGCAGTTGCCCAACCAACCGAGCCATCCAGGTGCCCCTGGAATGCTCTTTTCATTCAAATTGTGGAGCCAGTTGTAAGGCTTCCAGGATAAAGTCTGGAAATGCAAAGGGCCTAAACCAGTGGTTCTCAGCCCTTATTCTGTGAAGAATCATCTGGGGAGTTGTTATAACACACCCTTGTCTTACTCAGGTCCACATAAGACCAATTAAATCAGAATCTCTGGAGGTGAGGTCCAGGAACCAAAAATTTTTAAATTCACCTCCAGACCACTGTAATACACAAGCAGGATTGAGAACACTGGCGGAAAATCTCAAGGGCCGAGAGGGCTGACAGCCCATGTGCACACCGACTTGGGCTTCATCCTAGACGATGCCACATCCATCTTCTCCTGAGGTGCCGTGCAAGTGGTCTGGAGAGCAGAGCGAGAAGGCTTTGGACTCAGTTTGAAAATCATTCCCACTAGCAACTTGCTGTGTGATCTTGGGCAAACCAGATCACCTCTCTGAGATTTGTTTTTGCCTATGGAAAGCAGGAGTCTCTTTTCTCCTTTGTTTTTTTGTTTTTTAGATTTTATTTATTTATTTGTCAGAGAGAGAGAGAGAGAGCACGCACAAGCAGGGGGAGGGGAAGGCAGAGGGAGAAGCAGGCTCCCTGCTGAGCGGGGAGCCTGACACGGGGCTCGATCCTAGGACCCTGAGATCATGACCTCAGCTGAAGGTAGACGCTTAACCGACTGAGCCACCCAGGCGCCCCTCTTTTCTCCTTTGGAAAGAACACATTCCAGAGGGTTTCTGTGAGGCTTACATGAGACCGGCTGGTTTCCCGGTTATAACAAGTGTCGGACACTGCTTTTTATCTCCTTCTAGACCGGGAGGGAGACACCACACCATATTTGCGAGAAAACTCTACCACCTCAGTGTCTTGTACTGTGAGTTCAAGTTTCTCCCTCCACCTGAGGAGAGGGACATGTTTAGATTGAGAATTCGTGATAATGGCCTCTCGAATCCATAATATGCAAGTAGAGGAGGAAATCCTTTCTGTGTTCACGTTCAGACTTTCTTTTGGGTCCCGAGCTTTATCATGATGTGAACATACTCTAGGCTAAAAACAGGTAAGTTCACACAAAAATTCCTAACAATAAATAAAGTTGTTTGTATTTTTTTCATGTTTCTGTTCAGCCCCTATTCGTAGGTAATGTAGGTGATATATTTTTATTCCACTATAATTATGGCATTGATACACTCTTAAATTGTGCTTTTTCTCACTCAGTGCTTTATCTTCTGCATTCGTCATGTTTCTATAGTTCTTTATTATTGACATTTTATAGGCTACATAGTATTTGTTGAGTAGCCTCACTATGATTTACTTTTATATTCCTCTATTGTTAAAGCCTTTTGATTGCTTCTAAAGTTTCAATATTGCTTTTAAAGTTTTGATATTAGAAATTGTGCACAATGAAATTATTTCTGCATATAACTTTAATTTCCTTTGGCTTATTTACTCAAAATAAAATTCCCATAAGTGTTTGGATCAAGGGGCCTGAACATTTTAAGGTTCTTGAATGCACCATTAAATTGCTTTGGTAAAGGACTCTATCAATTTTGGCTGCAAGCATGGGGGTGGGTGTGGGGGGGTGCATCATTTTCAACAATGTGCCAGCACTGAATTTCATCATTTGAAAAAGGTTTTCAAATTGTACATCTATAATCTAATTTAATAGAAGCTAATAAGTTACTGGGCCTGACTTTTGGGCATGCATAACCTTTCTTCTCCATCCCTTTTCTGGTGGCATCCCCACTCTCTTGTAAACTCCTGGAGGGCAGTTTACAAACCTCACACATCGTAGAAAATCAACGATTACTTTTTAAAGTGATGAAGGATTCAGGCAATCCTCTTCCTGATAAGTCTTTGGTTTTCTAATAGCAGTCTTCTTTTTTAAAAATAAAGTAAATTACACTTTATTTCTGTTATGTTGGTAGCCTCAGAGAGCTGTTTGCTGGAAAAAAAAATGTATGAAGATTTTTACTTGGTGGGAAGCAGACCTCCCCACCACCAAAGGAAGGCGGCTACAGCTGTGCTTTTTCCTCCAGCCCCTTTCTGTATCTCCCATCTCCCGACACCTGAAGAGCTGGCTCCAGGCGAAGCCAGGGAAGGCTATTTGCAGGGTGTATGGGAGAAAAATGAACACAGACAGGCCCCTCCTAACCTATGGAACTCAGTTTTGGCTCCTGCAAGCAGGAGAAGTTTGGCCCATGCCCAGATGTCCTTGTATTTGGTCCCATCGACTAGGACAGATCTTGGGGATGAAAACTGCTGTGAGTCCAGTAATGTTTTTTAAGTGACTACGTATGTATTCTGTTGATTACAATAGGGTCCATATAAAGTTCAAAAATAGTAAAAATATGCAGAAGACCAACTTATGCAGCCACGCACACAATGTTGGGTGTACATTTGCATTCTCAAGCTCTTTAGGTGTCCTTCTTTGCCCATGCTGCTCTGAGAATAAGCCAATATCTCAATATTATAACAGAGAGTTGCTTACTGAGTTCAGGTGACTTGTAACCAGTAATTGACTAGTATTTAATACTCTAAGCTACACCCACCCCGCAGGCCTAGGAACTCCTCCTTACTTTTTAATATTTATTTATTTGAGAGAGAGAGAGTGCAAGTGCATGCGCGGGCAGGGGGAGGGGCAGAGGGAGAGAGAACCCCAAGCAGACTCCCCACTGAGTGCAGAGTCCACTGTGGGGCTCGATCCCATGACCCTGAGACCATGACCTGAGCTGAAATCAAGAGTTGGATGCTTAACTGACTGAGGCACCCAGGCTCTCCCTCCTTACTTTTTAACTATGGCTAATTTTAAAAGGTCCATTCCCTGCCTGTCCACCTTCTTCTCATCGGTGACAGCAACAAACAATTAATGGCATTTCTTAAATGTCTCGTTGCCTGAAATAACATCTTCTTCCAGCTAAAAAGTATGAAAGGCTGCACCTCTCCTCTGCTCTCTTCATTAGCCCTAGCATCTTCCCCTCTCCCTTTCCTTCAGTTTTGTCTAAGACCTCGCTTACTGCTCAAAATGGAATATGTTCTATGATTCTACTGGGGAGGGATTGTTTGTGATGATGGTTTTCAAAGAAAATACATGCTGGTGATTTGTAGGAACTTGACCTATACCTGCGTGTCCCCTTGTCAGAGGGCAGCAGCGTCTCTGAGGATCCTGGCCACCCTTGGGTTGTTGCAGGAATGGGGCAACCCCTTTATCCCCCTTCTCCATTCCTACAGAGATACTCTGGCCCTAGTTTACACTAGCTCCCCTCTTCAAAATTCAACTCAGCATATATCATTTTTTAAAAAAATTTTATTTATTTATTTGAGAGAGAGAGAGAGCACAAGCCAGGGGAAGGGCAGAGAAGCAGGCTCCCCACTGAGCAGGGAGCCCGATGCGGGGCTCGATCCCAGGACCCTGGGATCATGACCTGAGCCGAAGGCAGACGCTTAACCGACTGAGCCACCTGGGTACCCAACTCAGCAGATATCATATTATAGATTCTTAAACTCAAGGCAACAGAGAGATCATAATCCAGAGATATCCAGGCCTGGCTTTTCATCAGTCTCTTGGCAAACAAGTGTAAAATACATATTCTGGCCCCTGACCTGTCCAGACTCATCGGGATTGCATGTGGACATGAAACCTGCATGGGGAAAGCTCTCCTTGTGCCTCTGATGAACAGCCGGGGTTCAGAACCACTGACCCAGACTAACTCCCCGGCGAGACAGCTCTGACTATACTCTCTGGCAGGTGGTTGTGCATGACCTCCGACCCTGGCACACGCGAGGCTTTTCACAAGTGGTCTGAGTTGAACCAGTTCTTCCTTATGGCAAATTGAAAGACATTTCCACCACAAATGTTTCTACCGATTGGTCTCAAAGGTATCTTTTAGAGCAATACAGAAAAACATTTCTCCTATTTTTCCCCCAAACACTTAAAGATAGCTACTGTTTTCCTTCTCAAGATCTCTGTTCTCATTTCTGGGCTCTTAGTCCTGGTTGTTCTGCCCTGAATACGGTTAAAATGAGTTTAGGTATGTTTTTCAGATGATCTCTCATGAGAACTTGATGGAGAAGGTATCTTTCCTGGGTTAAGAGATGACTGAGGGCCAGTCAGGTTAAGCGACCCACCCGCCTGGTTCCTACAAACTAATAAGTAGCTGAATTGAAATTCGAACCATTTGACTCCAGATTCTGCACACTCTCTTTTTTTTTTTTTTTAAGATTTTATTTGTCCGTCTGAAAGGGAGAGAGGGGGAGAACATGAGCAGGGATGGGGTGGGGGGGAGGGGCAGAGGGAGAGGGACAAGCAGACTCCCTGCTGAGTGGGGAGCCTGACATGAGGGGGCTCAATCCCAGGACGCTGGGATCATGACCTGAGCTGAAGGTAGATGCTTAACGGACTGAGTCACCCAGGCGCCCCGAGATTCTGCACTCTTAACTAACATGTTATGCTGCCAATTTTTCTTTTCTTTGGTTTAAAATGCAAATAGATGCTAAATGAGTATTAAACTGAAGTGTATCAGAGCATCCCCACCCCATTCCACTCCCTGCAGGGAGCCACTGTCAAATTTGCAAAGTCCCTTGCAAACACTACTAAATGCTGGATGTTCCATTCAGGGCAGAGGGGAACTCTGCCACCTTTGCTCTGGACTCCGACTCCCCTGTGGGCTTGGAAGAATGAGTAAGAACAAGAAGGTTTTTGCTCATTTTGCCCTTGGTGGCAAGAAAACCCTTAGTTTTTTGTTTGTTTTCATAAACTGTTGTTGATCCTCTTGTTTTG